CAGTGCTGGCAGACAGGTCGCGGGCAGCGTCAAGCAGCTTGGAGAATGTGATCAAGATCCGCCTTGTACTCATTCGAGGGGTATCTTACTTGCATGAAAGGCATAGACACGATGCACGAGCCCAAAGTTACCTGACTCTCTGGCCCCAAGTGCCATCGCTGAGCAAGCTCACCTTTGTGCGTGCATCAATGAGAAGGCGAGGAAACGAGCTGCACCGTCCCGCAGTTGGATCGTGAATTTCCGGCAGGTTCAGCACCATGGAATACCTTTCTTTGTGCATACAAGACTGGGCACAAGACGCCAGTATACTCAGGAGTTATCCTCAAATTCCGAAGGTATGCAAGACAGACCATGAACTGGCTTTGCCTCACCGAGATTTGACAGTAAGGTTTGCGGCGCTTCACAGGACGATCCCATTGCCGCCTCAATCCGAGTCGAAGCTCGAGGCACACCACTATCATCGATCTTCGTCCAGCAGCCGCTCTGCAAAGACTCCGCCAATGAATCCATCACGGATATTCCGACCTCGAATATCGAGCGCCTCACGCAGCGATGTACGCTGGACAGCAGGGCGCCGCACGTCATATCTTCTAGATGGATCCGGAGCATCTACAACGTCGGAACCGGCTTTTACCAGGTGATGGTCGAGATGTGTCGTCCCAAGCAAGTGTCCCAAATGTTCCGTTGGACTCTGAACGAGGGCTAAAGAACTCCTAAAGCTGCCAACCGTGAACGAGCTCGTAAACCCGGTCAAAGCCAGCGCAGAAGATAGGTCTGCATTTCCTACAGGCGAACGTGCGACCAGGCCTCGGGTGTCGGCTCGACCGCTCGTGGGATTGCTCGTCAAGCGGCTGTCACAGACTTTGTGAATTGTTCGACAGTGTAATTATCATGTATGTTCAAGCAAATCGACGTCGAACAAGTGCAGACGAGATGCTCTTCACTCACAGCGTCCGACCGAGAGCTCCTTCAGCTACTCTCAGAGGCCATCTTGGGGCCTATTGCGTTGCTGACTCCTGTTGCACTCCACGCGCTCATCTCAGGGGCGATCACTTGAGCCCTGCTTGAGTATTAGATAGCTGTATCAAACTCGGACAGCTCGGGGCACGCCAATATGCGCGCTGTACAAGTCGACAATGGTGTAGCAAGCCCGCAGCTATGGCTCACCTGGCTCGACTCGAGCAGATACGACGCATGTGCGAGAGTTAGTGGGGCCACGCATCGTAAATGAATGGGGAAAGTGATGCGGTTCCGGCCTACTGAGGAGCCGAGAAATACGATTGGTCTCACTGTTTAGCATTCAAGTGATTATGCGGTATTACGGATAAACAGCTTCAAAGGCGGCATACTGGTTGAGCTGCTGCTGCTGCTGCTGCTGCTGCTGCTGCTGCTGTAGCTCGTCAAGCGTTCCAGCACGACCAGCATCCATGCTGAGTGTGCAGTCAGAACATGCACCACTGTAGTCTGCTGCCCGAAGCACCTCACACCTTTGCAAGCCTTGCACCTCACATCTTCGCCATACTTGCGCCTTCTTGCCAGCGTGGTGCAACGCTCAACATGCTCGCGACTCATCGTCAAGCTCTCTCTCTCATTCGCCGACGGCGGCAGCATTGTCTGGAGACGACACGCTTCCTTCGCTGGGGTGATCATCTGACGAAGAGACATGTCGAGCTTCCTTTCTGCCTCAAGAACTCCGGCGCGGTGCTTGCTCTTGGTCCTATCCATGAGTCATCGTATTCTCGGGCCGGTATAGCAACTGATTGCACTCGGCGAATGGCAGATTGGGGCTTCTAGCTTTCAGGCGGTTTACCAATAGAAGACGCAGCAACCTGGAGCTTTTCTTGCACCTGCACAAGTTTTCGCCCAAGGTGTGTTTCCAGAGTCCGTCAAAAATATTTCCGTCGCACGTCAAGGCTCTCCCTGGCCTGACAGGACAAGTCCACGGGACGAACGTGCGGTTGTCTGCCGGTACGACGCATTCTGTGCAACTAAAGAGTGGAGAGAGAAAAGACTTGGTGAGAGCATCATTTGCGTGTCTCATTAGCTCCGCGCCGTCGACACCTTTCTCAAATTCGAACGGACCTCTGCTTGACCGGTACAATTGAAGCTTACCTAGCTGTCGTGACTACCGATAGTATTCGACTGCTTCGCCCTATGTCAGAATCGTCGTGCTCGCCGAAATGAGAACGAGTCAAGCACGTCGAACGCTCGTCAAATCCGGTACTCGGAGCTGCCAACCATGTCTGAAAGCGGTTGATGCCACTGCTCACTCGCTATGCGTGACGTGGGCGTGATGACAGCAATCAGGCACGCGCCAACCCTTGCAGTCTTCAACGTGGTCGCGCCCATGCAGCATGTGTCCTTGCGTTAGCCTTGGATTGGAGTCTGGCCTTTTCAGCATGGCAGCGCGGACGTCAACGCTGCAAGAACCCCGCATAGTGACGCCCTTGAGAGCGGATACGGTCGCCTGTTGGCAATCCGACGCTTCTGGCACTTTGTGGCCCTGACTTGGCGGAGAGAAGAGATCAGCATGCTCGTGCTTCACAACCGTGGCATAAAGCTTATTGTCGCTTTATAGTTTTCTGACTATTCACGAATCATTTTACAACGCCAAAGTCTTCGTCGAGGGGTACAAACCAACTGGAGGTGGACCGATTCTGTGATCCGTACGGATGAGTGGAGATGACGGGGATCACATTGATGATGATCATGTTGCTTATACAACGTCAAGCCGCTGTCGGGTTGTTGGTTGGAGTCAAGGGTGTGTGTCAAATCAGGTGCGAGATCGTAGTGATGCGGTGCGCGCGACGAACGAGAAGGACGGCGCTGTGGGAGAAATCTGATGGTGGTGAGGATGTATGTGACGGAGTGTGATCTGGAGAAGAGCTGACTGCGTGGTGGTGCGTAACCTGGAGATTCAACACGTGTAAAGCGTTTGACTGCTAGGATATGCTTTGCTGTCAAAATGCGCTGCGCTTGCGGATCGGTAGAGTAGATAAAAAAGGGTGCGTCGCGGCCGGACATGCTGGCTTGCAAAGTAGCAATTAGGAGATTGCAGCTCGGGACGA